TATTTAATTATTTTACAGCATTATTAAATATAGCATTATTTATTATGCCAAAAAGAATGCTAATTTAAATGTTTCAAAAGTTTACTTGCATTTGATAATATGATGTCATGCATCCCACAAGCTGTTATGTTACATTCATACACATTATGATATTATTGATATTCGGCTGTCTTTCATTTTATAAATAGAAATGCAATTACAATTCCCAACCGCTAGATGGCAATTGTAGCCCTACTGAGACATGACTACTGGCAACGTTAGAGATCAGTGTTGTGTTTTGAATTGTTTTTACACGAGAGAGCACTAAGTTTACTTGTCGCAGAGCAGCGGGCAAACAAACGATAAAGGACATTCCTACTTGGTCTTGTAAGTATCTGTGTTTTCGTTTTGACATGTGTTCGTTATTTATCTATATTATTTGTTATCATGTTTAGGAACTGTGACATTTTAGTGAAGGGCGCAGATCGTAGTTGATAGTGATCCATGACTAGCCCACGGTTCAGCACGCATGTGTTCAGAGGATTAAGAGGCTTTAACCACAATGTACAGACATTGAAATATTATATATTATATACAATAATAAATTCAAACTTCACACAGGGACCACTTAGTTGTGCAGTTGATCAAGGAAAGCAGTAACCATACAATCTGGTTCTTACAAATCTGGTAGTTATTTTGCAAGAAACAAATATTTTATTAAATTATAGTAGATCTTTGTACATTGACCTTTTATTTTGAGTTTAAAAAAAAAAAGCTGAAAATTCTGACATTATTTGGGCCCCTTCTTCAGCATGACAGGAACAGGGCAAATATATTTTTTATTATTATTTTAATTTAATTTTGATGTTTATGTATGGCTAATTGCTATAAAATAATCTAATCAAATCTAGCCAATAAATTGTATTATTTAGACATGTATCAAATTTTGGTAACAGGGTTGCAAAAACTGCAAACCTTACAGAAAATTAAACCGCTCATATAATATTTAGTATCACATTTATGTTAAGTTTTGACATTTATGTAAATGTAAACTACATATATTGTTTTTCTTTTTTTTTTAAGAAGCCCCGTTTTGAACGAATTCATTGATTGTGCCAAGACTCAGTTAGCACATGCCAACCATTTGCAAATAAACTAAAGACCTTTGAGTTTAACATATCAGTGTTTACCAAGTCTACATTGTAACATCCAGTAAATGCATCCTACTTTTAAGGTTAAAATTAACATTTTATTTTTTTTAATTGTGAGATAAGGAGGATCAGCAGGTCATCTAGGAGACAACAATTTAAGCAAAGACAAATAGGTGACAAACTCTCAAATCATCTGTCTGCTGTCTTTTGTTTATCAGTTCAAAAGATTGCTCAATTCTAATAAACACATTTCACAATATAATGGCAGTTACAGATATTTTGCCATGCTTGTACTATTGCAGTGTTTGAATGCTTGAAAGTGTTCTCTCGTCTCACTCATTTCTAATGGGACAGATTCATTCATTACATAATGCTCTTCTTGAATCAATCACATAAAGTACATTAAACCAGTTAAAAACATCTAACAGGATTACACTGTAAACATGGCAATTCTTTTGAAACCTGCCCTTTGCTTCCTGTTCATACAGTATGTTACATACATTTGACTCAAGAAGTTTGACTTCTCTAAGGTTATTTTTTGGTGTGTCCAAAGGACAAACATGAGTTGCTGCATCAGATACAATTTATTATTATTTAATGATTTATTTTTAACAGGATATATTGCTTGTGCACAGAGAGGTCTGGTGTAAGAAAGTCGTCTTTTTGACACAGGTAAATGATTAACTTGTTGATCCCCAAGCAGGCAAGAGTTTCAGAGGCAGACCAAAAAAAAAGGTACAGTACTTGTGAACTGAGCTCAAAATGAGAGTTCCTGTAAAACTCCTCATCTTCAGCTTTTGGTTGCTTTTCTTAAATTGTTCCCGATGTCAAGGCAAGTGATTTGTTGTTGTTGTTATTTATTTAAATGTCTTTTTTATTTAGATTTTACTGACTTTAATGTAAATGTTATATTATATGCAGTTCCCAAAACATTTATCTGACCTTATGTAGCTTTAGAGAGTGTTGAATAGTTGTGCATTTACTTCAGCATTTAATATACAAACAGTTACGTCTTTGTGTTTGTTCTTCTCAGAATGTCATCGAGAGGACATTAAATATGAAAACACAGAGCTAGCTGCGAAAGCTTCATACGCTGATGGTGAATCAGTGAGACTGAACTGCATGACCGGTTATACCGGCTTGTATAGATTAAAGTGTGAAAAAGGAGAATGGAAGAAATCCATTGAGCGGACATGTGCAAGTAAGAGAATTATCAATACAATGGCCGCATAATTGTTTGGGTTATTAAATCACTGTTATCATGGAAAGTAAAACTTGTTTGATTTCTGCAGAGAGGAAATGTAGTAATCCAGGCGACATACCAAATGGTGATTTTGAACTTGCAGCGGGCACGGAATTCGTTTTTGGAGCAACATTGGTGTATACTTGTAAGAAAGGGTAAAAGTGCTTTATGCTTTTTTTATTCTCTTTTTTATTGTAGGAAATGTATACTATCGTCATCAGTTTGAAACTCCTGTACTTGTAAAAACATTGTGTTTACAGGTATGAAATGGCAAGCAGAATCACTCAGCGTACGTGCAGAGCTCAAGGATGGGACAATACTGTTCCTGTCTGTGAGGGTACGATTCCATGAAAGTCACTGTTTTTCCTTTTTATTTATTCTCATTTAATTTATTTCTGTCATAGAAGAGTGACTCGTAAGCTAGAAGAGAATTATATTGATTGATTGATTTTTATGTGAACGGTTTGTTGGTTTATTTATTTATTTTCATATTCATATATTGTCTAGCTGTAAAATGTCCAGCTATTCGTACAGACCGAGGTGTAACTGCATCAGGCAACACAGAGGAGGGAAGTTATGGCAATGTTATTCACTTTGAGTGTGTATCTTCTGGCAAAAAGATAGACGGAAGTAGTGACATTCACTGTGAAGAGACGGGAGAATGGAGTGACGTTGTTCCAACATGCAAAGGTTCAGTTTATTGTTTATTTTTCTGTTTATCTGTATCAATGATCACAGATTTCTGTGCTTTATTTAAAGCACCAGTTGAATTATTCTTGTTTCTCTCACTTTTCATACAGATATAACATGCACAGCACCTGTCATATCAAATGGATATGCTATTGAGCAAATGCCAGAATACCAGAAAGATGCCATATTAAAATACAAATGCAATCCAGGTTTCAAGCCCAGAGAGGGAACCCCCAGATGTGCTAAATTTGGCTGGACTCTGAACCCAGAATGTGATGGTAATCCACCACAGTTACATAATTCAGATAGGAAATTATACTCAAATACTTGTATTAATCTTTCACAATGCGAACAAAAAGGTGTCACACAGTAACTGAAACTAAAAATAGATTAAACTTCCATTAAACTTGCATCTAAATTTGAAAATTCAAAAACAAAATTACAAATTAGGCCTAAATTAAGATTAATATATTTGTTTAATCTTACTTTAATTTT